CACCTTGCCTGGTCTGAAACTATGAGCCAAAAATATATTTTCTCTTGTCAACTGTTATCTGTGATGCCAAAAAAAGAACACATCTGACCACTAACACTAGCTTATGTTCAGTTTGCCTCTCCATTCTGGGGTGGCCACCCAAAGCATAGGGATCTCCATCTGACCAAAGTGTGAGCCTGCAAACCAGACTGAGGTGAAGAAGACCCTGGGAAGAGCACCCCAGGGGCAAGACAAGGCCAAGGTGGGAGGAAAGAAAATCTGGTCAGCCATCAAGATAAAGGTGACACACAAAGACATGTCTGTGTGCCACGGGGCAATGATGTCATCTAAACAGGAAGACGATGGGGAGTACAAGCTCCAGGACTGGTCTCTATCAAAATGGAATCTGCTGCTCCAAACCAGGGAGGCAGGCCAGGACAGAAACAGCAGGGCTGAGGCCTTCGCACAGGGGCGTGCTGTCGGTTTTCTTCTCAAACGTCTAGGCGGGTTGTCAGCCGCCCCATGACAGGGAGAGGAGACGTCCCTTGAGAAGCGGGACAGCACAGACGCATGGTGTCCGATCCATACTGGCCCCACTCGCAGAACATGAGCCGCGTACGAGAGCTGTGTCCTGGACAGTGGGGGCCCCAGGGAGTGGGCACTGCCGACAGCCCGCCCTTGTTTTCAGAGGAGGAGGCAGTTTGGAGAAGCTAACCAGTAGCCCAGGCGGAGGCAGAGAGAGATGTGAGTGGGGCTCCAGGAGACGGATGCCTAACCTCCAAAGCTCTGCGTCCACCCTGAGTTTCCCAGCCGTCAGCACCCCAGTCAAGCAAAAATAGTACCTACTCAATACTGTTATTTCCATTGCTGTTAAAAAAAAAATGCCCTCCTATTGATTTGTATTACAAATAAATAGCATTTTAACCTGCGTTTAACTTGGTTAAAAGAACATTTGTAAGTCTGAGACATCGGAATCTTCCATCTACCCTGTTGGTGTTGAGCGCAGGCACCCAGCAACAATTTGTATGCTCAGTTTGGAACACATCTGCAGACAGAATTCCTAGGTAGTGAGACACTACACCTGCCTGATAACAGTCATGCCATCTCAGCTAATCGTAAAGTGAAGACACTAGAAACTTAACTAGCTGTGATGATACAAGCCTCTTTCCCCATGGTTATTAAATTCATAAAATAAAAGCATCTGAGGCGTGTTTGCCCTAATGAGCAGACATTCAATAGGGCTCCGTAGAACAACGGGGAAGATTCCATGCGAGGAATGAAGCATAGAGGTTAAATATACAGCTGGGGTGATTGCTCAGAATTGTCCAATCAGAACACACCAGCCTCTGAAGACAGGCAGGTGCTGGACCAGCTTGTCTAGCTGCTGCCTTGTTAAGGGTGTGTGTTAATTATAAACTTTACAAGTCACCCTATATACTGCTACCACCATGCTGGAGACAGACCATCCATTAGCCTGGGGTTTAATGCCTAAGGAACCACTTATTTCAAATACCATAAGGGCCTTGGTGGTTAAGTGGTTTCACTTTGTGTCCGGGAATACGGACTCTGGGGGCTGAACAGGAAGGAAGGCCTAGATCCTCAGAGCTGGACCAGGAAGTGCGAGCCAGTGAGTTAAGTCTCTTAGAACAGGCAAGCTCATAGTGTACCCTGATGTCCATGATGCAAACCACTTGGTAATAAAAAGCCCGGTGCAGCATATGCCTTTAATCCCAGCATTCAGGAGGCTGTCGCAGGCAGATCTCTGTGAGTTGAGTTCGAGGCTAGCCTGGTCTATATACTGAGTCCAGGACAGCCAGAGCTACACAGTAAAGCCCTATCTCAAAAAAGAAGAAGAGGAAGAAGAGGAAGAAGAAGTAGTAGTAGCAGATGTCATATATCTGCATCCCTACATATTTCTAAACTTTTGGGGAAGTTACAGAGTAAGTGCTTGAAGTCCTCAGGAGCCCAAACCGTCTTTTTGTAATATATATAAGAAATTAGTGACTCAGAGGCTCAGCAGTTAAGACTTCAGCTGTTCTTCCAGAGGTTTGATTTGCAGTATCCACTCACAATGGTCACTCAGCTCAGACTCCAGCCCCAGGGGTTCTTCTTCTGACCTCTGCAGGCATCAAGCAGCAACATGGTGTACTTACATACATGCAAGCAAGGAGGCGTGAACGTGGTGTACTTACATACATGCAGGCAAGGAGGCCGTGTACATAAAAGAAAACTTTAAATCAGCTGGACATGGTGGTACAGACCTACAATTCCAGCTACTCTTGAGGCTGACGCAGGATGACCATAAGCTTGAGACCCGCCTGCATTCAAAGTGAGTTCAAGGCCAGCCTAAGCAACTTTAGGGAGATTCTGTCTCAGAAGTAAAAAGACCTGGGGATCTAACTCAGGGGTAGAGCACTTGCCTAGCATACAGGGGGTCTTAGGTTCAATCACCAAATATCACCAAGAAAATTAAAGAAAGGAAAGCCTTCAGGTTTTCCAAGTTTTCTGTCTTGGGCAAAGTGTGTTGCGCACAAAGGAAATTCTGGAAGGCAGAGCTTCACAGAAGCTCTGGCAAGCCCTAAAACCTAAGAAACAAATCACTCAGAAATATATCACTCATACACGACGAAATGAAGCTCTTGACCTACAGGAATATGAGGGGAAATCAAGTCCCTTCTGCGTGAACCGGGATGATAAGAGGGAGAGGCCTCTGTGAGGAAAGCGGCCTAGGAGGCTTTGCTTATGGTTGTACAGCAGCAGTTCCACACGTTGCTTCAAATTATTGTATCTTTGCAGAAAAAAACATACCCACCACCAATTCTTCCCTGCCACTGCCTGGAGCTGGGGACCAACCAACAACTCCCCTTTAAGGTTTCAAGGACTTGGGGCCAGGTGGTCAGTGCCTTTAATCCCTGCATTGGGGAGTCAGGCAAGCCGATCTCTGGAGTCCAGGACTAGCCTGGTCTACAAAGGGAGATCCAGGCCAGCCAGAGGTGCACAGTGAGATTCTCTCAAATAAGTTTTTAAAGGTTATCCAAGCCTTCCACCCTGCTGAGCACTACGGCACTCAGCTAACCTCTCACTGGCAGCCCAGGGCTAATGCCTGGGAAACCCTAACAGTGTGTGGTTGGTGGTAAGCTTGCTGAGTCTCTCCTGGGACCCAGGCCCCATTCCTAGCCCTTTTCTGGACAAGGACACTGACAAAAGTCCTGGGAGCAGAGCATCTGGAGGCCACCTGTCCCGGGCGCTCTGCTGCAAACGGAAGGCCTCCTCCAGCCTACTCCAGAAGGCTCGGCGGCTTCCTCTCAAAGCGGCCCCACTTCCAACCTCATACACCTCAGAGGGCGTGTCACTGGCCCTCTACACGTTCTGTAACACGGCTGGGATGCACAGGACAGCTGAGACTGCGCACCGGCATGCTGGCTACCTCGCAGAGCACCAGCTGCCTGCCACCCCACACCCGGGTGAGTGTTCAAATGTACAGCAGTGGACACTGGCGTGCACTGGCTTCCATTTACCTGCCTGCACTCCGTGCCAGGAACCGACCCAAGACAAAATACCCACAACAATGCTTTCCTCACGCTGACGACTCCATCTTTAGCAACCTCAGGCCTCAGAGAGAGCTGTGGTGCCTTTATCGTCTTAGGAATTCTGACTGTATGAGGAGAGGAAGGAGACCCAAGAGGCTAATTCCTGTAGAATAAGTTGCATAAACCATGAGACAAGAATATTCAATCTCTTTTTTTCTCTCTTACAAAAGAAAACATAATATAACCTCACAGCTTGGAAGATAACCATATTCCAAGAAAAATCGTAACTGTTTCTGGAAAAAAAATCAAAGTAACTTCATGACTCGAGTTTCAAATCATAGATATGAGTGGTGTACGGGAATACGGCAGAGGAGTCAAGAGAACAAACTTCGAGCTAGGGGGTAAAAAAATGAATTAAGCAGAAAGAATAACATCCCATAATTTACATTCCAGATGCATTATCCAACAGTTAAGAGTGGGACAGTTCATTAAGGAATATCTACCTCCTATATTTGAGAGGAAGTATCACTTCAAAGGTAAAATAGCACAACAAAGAAACTAACCTGAAATTTTACCTAGCTTGAGAAATATAAGACAGCCGAAGGCCTGCCTGTGGACAGTATGGAAGTAAGACACAGCACCCACTTGGGACGACTATGTGTCCTCTGACCCTGAGAAGCTGGCTTGCTCACGGAGAGCCTCTACAGGGAACAAGACGACCACCCCTCCACCTTTCACTTTCCACGGGGGAGAACGTCAGTTCCTAGTCTCGTTCTTTTCTTACTGGAAGGTCAAACTGGGAAGGGAATTAACTAGAAAAAAACACAGAGGGTACATTTCCCCCTCAGGAAAAAAACCCACATCTAAGACCAAGTGTCCGGCTCACAGAAGCCAGAAAGAGCCGGCTTCGGTCGATCCTCGGTACCCAAGCCCGCGCCCGGCACGCGCTCCTCAAACCTGTGACCACCCGGCGCCAGGGGCCGGACAATAGGTCCTTGTGCCGGGCGCTGGGGAAGATGCTCCGTCCCGGGGCAGATCCCTCTTTTCTGTGCACACCCCTCTGCTCGGTCCCGACCCGTGGCTGCCACCTCCCCGGCCTCCCCTGGTGAGGCACGCTCGGTCGCTACCCTCACTACCCGCGCAGCAGCATCCAGAGGGACCGGGAACAGCGCACTCGGACCTGGCCGGCTACTTTCAGAGATGGCAAACTTCACTTCGGACTCCCCGGCGGAGGCTCCCCGCTCCCCCGCAACCCTGTGCGTATCTTCCAGTCGGTCCCTGTCCCCCGAGCGGGCCCGCCCCGCTACACACTGAGCGCGGCCCCCGGGATGGATGCCCCTTAACCCCGGGACCGAAGGGGCTGCGATAGCCTACCCGGGTGGGCCTGGCCGGGCGCAGGTGGAGAGCGGTTCGGACCCATCGGCGGGTCGTCCGCGGCCTGGACCCCGACCCCGTCCCGGGCCCCAGTCCTAGCCCCAGCGCGCCACTCACGTATCTGCGCACGAGCGTCCTCAGTAGGCTGCAGTCCATGGTTGCCGCTCCGGGCTCCACGAGCCCCCGGGCTGCGGGCGCTAGTGCAGCCGCCCCCCGCCCGGTCACGGCCTGGGCGGCGCGGGGGGCGGCCGCAGCCCCTCCGCGCTCATTCCCCGCCGGCGGCGGCCAAGGGACGCGGCTCGCGCGCAGGCGGCTCGGAGAAGGCGGCCCGCGCCCGGCGCTGTTCCCGTCGGGCCGGCGCGGCCTGCGCTTGCTGCTCCGCGCCTGCTCCTCCCGCGGCCGCCGCGCCTCTGGAGCCGGCTCTGCCCCGCTGCGCCCCGCGCGTCACGGGCGCCTGTGAGCATGCGCGCGCCGCAGCCCCCGCCCCGGCCCCGCGCGCGCGCCGCGACTCCCCAGCGCGCGCCGCCGCCCTGTTGCTTCCGCCTCCCCGCGGGGCGGACGGGAGGCCGCTGTCACCGCCCCCCTGTGGCTCGTCGGGTGCCGGTTCCCCACCTCCCTAGTTCACTCCTGTTCTAGAAGGGAAGCCTGGCTGCGAGCCCAGGGTCCGATGGCGGGTGCGGTGGGCCTGAGTCCCTGAGCCTGCGGGTCACGCCTCCCGCGTTGGCGTGGACAGAAGGCACAGGAGCCTCAGGTGGCCTTTTAGGACTTCCTCCTTTGGAGACCCAACATGCTCTGATCCAGCTCTTGGGGACTACTTTCTACCTGCTGCTGGGCCTTGTCTCAGGTCCCCCATCCAGACCCAGGCCTCTGGATTTTGCCTGGTGGTCCAGTGCTTCCTGCTACTAGTTTTAGGCTAAATTACCACTGCTAGCACACACACACACACACACGCACGCACGCACACACACACAGAGTTCCAGGTGTGAAACTGCCCAGGTGTGAAGCAGCACACAGCCTGCACATTTTCCTTACCTCCGGGTCCCCCCCAACCTAGCTGCTGGTTCCTGGCGTCACACCCCCTGATTTTGCTTCCGATAACTGTAGAACCCGATGGGGACTAAGGATCTTAGGGGGCCAATCAGGAGCTCCAGGCCTGGAAGTTAGGAAATGTATTTAAAACCATTCTGACAGGGTGTGGGGAGATCGGGTACTCCTGAAGTTGGGATTAGACACGGATGACAAGGGACAAGCGCCAGTGACTACATAGAAAGGCCCCCCACCCCCAGAGTCGCCAGCTCACTGTTTCCCATTTTCCACCCAGTCTCCCCACGGCCTCGCTCTTCACCTAGCTCCCACACGCGTGTCTCCCCACATACATAGCACGGGCTGCAGACACTGAGCCAGCCTCAGGAAAGTGTTTCTCTCCAGACTTCCTGGACTTGCCATGATCCTGCTGGTGTTGGAAGGCAGCTGTCACTGGTACTCCTACTTTGCTGTGGACTCTTGAGGACAGCAGGTCCCTGTGCCTGGGGACTGGTGTCTGGTTCCTGCAACTGGTGGTCCTGTGGCCATGACCACATGTTCATGTGTCCCTGATGATGCCATCTGATTTCTACCATGGCCCAGTACTGCTAGGACAAGCTGTAGGCTTCTGATGGCAAGTCACAATTGGAACGGGTGACCCTGGCACAGACCGGCCTCAGGACGAAGACTTCCATCTTTAGAGAGTGTCTTTTCTACTCAGAGGCATGCGCTTGTTTTCTTTTCTTTTGTTTCTCGTTTGGATTATTGAGACAGAATCTTTATCCTGGGCCGTGCCATCTTCCTGCCTCAGTCTCTTCAGTGGTGGGAGTACAGGAGTGAACCCCCATGCCCAGCCTTTTCTTCATACTAATGGTACAACAGCAGCAACTTCATCCTTGTCCCCCAAGCCTTCACTCTTTGTGGAGCTCAGGGTGCTCTCTGGTCCCCCACCCCCACCCCAGCTAACACCAGCCTATCAAGTGGCTGGCTTACTGGAAACGACAAGGCTGGGGCACCCTGAGACTTGCTGGCAGGATGTTTGGTGAAGATTTCCTCACTCTTAAGAAAGAACGCTTCCTGACGGGCGTTGGTGGCGCACGCCTTTAATCCCAGCACTCGGGAGGCAGAGGCAGGCGGATCTCTGTGAGTTCGAGGCCAGCCTGGTCTACAGAGCTAGTTCCAGGACAGCCTCCAAAACAATACAGAGAAGCCCTGTCTTGAAAAACCAAAAAAAAAAAAAAAACAAGAAAGAAAGAACCCTTCCCTTCTGAGGATGGAGAATATTGTCTGGGGTGATGCCTAATTCTTCCTTTCTGAGGGTGGAGAATGTTGTCTGGGATGATTCCTAAAGGGTGTGCAGCTTCCCTGCAGACTTTGGAGGATCAAGTGGTAGCCTGAGGAACCTATTCTTCCTGGCTATAGAAGCATGAGAAAGTCGGCTGAGCAGAGAATGCCATGCACGGATCCATTAACCCGTCCTAACCAGAAACTTACTGTCGTAAGAGTCGATGCATTATATTTAAACCAAGTGAATTGAATTTCCCATTACCAACAGATGTCAGCACTTTTAACCCCTACACACAAATCAGTCAGGACACTGTGAAAATAACAGAAACTTCAACTCATTCTGTGAACCTGTTAGTCACGGCTGTGTAACAGCCACTACCCAGGCAGGAGGTGTTTAAGCTGCAGGCACGCAGCATGGGCCAGGGCTCCCAGGCTTGGCGGGTTGTTTATCTTTCCCTGGTGTTGCCTGGGAATCTCTGAGCTATCATGATCTTCGGGAGGTTTTGCCAAGGTAAGAATGTCTCCATAGCTCGAGTCACATGCACAGTGTCCCTAGGTAGAGAACTTGGGGCTTGGGGGTGGAGCTGTCCTCTTTTCAAATAGCATCTTACAACTCCATGACCTAGCCTGGACTTCTCACAGTGGTTGGGTCTCTCAAGAGCCAAAAACATGGACACAACAGAGCTACCGAAGGCTGTGTTTGGAGTTCCCAGAGCATTCCCTCTCCCACACTCTGCTGGAGAAAGTGAGGTCATATTCCTTCAGCCTTCCTCCACAAGAAACACCAATAAGCCGTATTTCCATGAGAGCCTCCAGGTCACCATGGGTGCTGCCCCAAGACAGTAGGCCACATTCAACAGGAGGGCATCTTATTTCCTGTGCCTCCCATAATCCCTTCCTGTGTTCCCTGACTATTTTGTCTGGAATCTTCTTCTGCAGAATAGGATCTTATTTGATCACCTCTTTTTGGTAAATCCCCCTCCCCTCCATCTTAGTTTCCTTTAGGAAGGGCTTCTTAGCAGTTTAATGGCGGCATCAGTGAGGGCTGTGTACTTAGTTGCTCAAAGTAGCTGTCTAACCTTCATAGATTGTAATCACTTGGGGAAGTTGTTTGTTTTCTAATAGTGCTTGCCCAAGGCTACTCCGCCCCAGGCATTTTGCACTGGTACTTTTCAAAGCCAGCAGTTACAGCACACTGAGCTCCAGGCAGGTGAGAAAGACTTTGCTGGGGATGGCTATAGTCATCGATCTTCCACTCTGGCACAGCTAGGGACCTTGTATGTACAGGTGCTTGACAAATTGTGACGGGATTAAATTACACATAGCCTGCCATTTCGGCCACTGAGCGTCAGCAGGAAGAACAAAGGGAGGTCGTGAAGCATTGCCAAAGAAAAGAAAAGCTCACAGTCCACAGTCCACAGCAGTTCATCCAGGATGGGCTCCTGGGGCTGTGTAACAAGACCATGGAGTAAAGTCCCAGACTCACACTGTCCTTAAGATTATGCTAGCAGCCAGGTTCTGTGGCACTTCCCTGGAATGTATCTAGGAGGTGTTTGTGGGCAATAACAAGAGTTTATTCATTTACTCTGAGACAAGAGTTTCACCATGTAGTCCAGTGTCTTGGTTAGAGTTTCTATAGCTGTGATAGAAGATTCTGACCAAAAAGAGCTGGGGAAAGAGTTTATTTCTCTTTGAACTCCCAAGTCATTCTCACCGCAGAGGGACGTCAGGGCAGGAACCTGCAGGCAGGAACTAACACAGAGGCCACGGGGAAACACTGGGTACTGGCTTGCCCTCCGTCCCTGCTTTCTTGTGGCACACAGTAGGGCCTATCTGGAGGTGACACAGCGATAATGGGCTGGGGCTGGACCCTCCCACATCAATCATCAATCAAAACCATGCCCATGAAAAACAAAACAAAACAAAAAAAAATTCCTCACAGATTTGCCTACAGGCCAATTTCTCAATTGGGATTTCCTCTTCCTAGGTACTTCTAGGTTTGTGTCAAACTGACCAAAACAAACAAACAAACAAACACAGAACATTCAGGGTAGCCCTAAATTCATGATCCACCTGCCCCTGCCTCCCAAGTGCTGGGGTAAAAATGTGCCCCATAGCTGGGCATGGAGTTTTATAGTTGTACAAAACAAAGAAAGTCATAAATCCAGGCAAGTTTAAAGCTCATTGGCGGGTACAGCAAGATGGGGAGCTTGTCTGTAGGCCTCAGATGCTATCTGAAAACATTCTTTAGCTTTGGAGTAGGTGGGAGCTAGTGGCCTGCTAAGTCCATAGATTCCACAAGGTTTCTGTCTGTTAGTCACAGGATGTTAGTTCTGACTCAGAGGCCGCCAAGAAGAGGCTACGCAGGGGATTGAAGCAGGAACTGCCTCTGGGCCTGCAGCATTCCAACCTCTCCACATCACTGTGGTTCCAATCAGCTAACCCCTGTGGATGCAGCTCCTCTCCAGGAGAGGACTCTGAGGCTTCTCCCTCCCCAGCACGCTGGGTCTTTCCTTCCTCAAGTCCTTCAGTCAGGAGAGACTTCCAGCATCAATATGGTCCTGTTGCCTCCTGAGGCTCTGTTTTCCTAAGTGGTTGTCTGTCCCCCAAGTGAGACTGTTGGGGGTTAGCTTGCCTCTCGGCATCGTATTTTCTCTTATTTTTTTCAGAGAGACCATGGAAAAGGAGAATGTGCTAAGAGTCCTTTTATCCCTCACACTCTCTTATTCTCTGAAAGATCGATGATTTTCATCCCAGCTTTCTTAAAAGGAAAACAAGTTCTGTGGCATGTAAAATTACCAGTAAAGTAAGCAAAAGCAATTTGTTGTACCCATTTATTTGAACGGTAATTTTAATATAAGCTGTTAGTGCGTCTCCGACAAAATAAATAGATGGCAGTCTATCTGAAGGACGAGTTGGACAGTCGTTAGCAATTCATCATTATTCAAGGCAATTTGCGTTTTTTGCTTGAGCGAGCCTCTTGGATATTATATAACATAGCTTTAAAGAGTGTTCTATTTATGGGCACTTTCCAGAAAATAAGGAAAATGGTCTCTTTTGCCCCATTGCTATTATAAATAGGAAGATAAAATGTTTTTCCTTAAAAATGCCTTCTATTTATTGTAATT